ATGGCGTTGGTGTATTCGTCACTTCCTAGCCAATTTCCAACACAAATTTGGCAAGAAGAAAGACATAAGAGATCAATTGTGGAGTGCAGGTAATAATGTAATTCAGTGCTTGTTCATGGTTTATTGTTCAAATGAAATTTCTTATGGATTAATTATTAATTATCCGGTCTTGTAGCGGTTGCACATCAACCAAAAAAGTACGAGCAGAAGATGAAGACGATCCGTCAAATACACCGGGCGGGAGCAGTATGGGCAGAAGGTCAAGATCTGCACATGTGGACATTTCACATGGACAACGGGGCTAGATTCGGAATTGCAACTACCAACCATGGGGAGAGCATAAATGGAGTCTACAAGGGCATTAGGGCAATGCCTGTATCTGTCCTAGTGGAGATGACATATTGGAAGGTAAACGAGTGGTTTGTGAAGAGACGGGATGCTGCTATAGGGAGGGAGCGTGCTGGTCATTCAATAGCTAAGCATATATTTGATGGCATGCAGAAGATCGAAGAGAAATCAAGTAAGCACAGAGTTGTTCTGTTCAACCGCAATGAAGGTATTTTTGCTGTGCAAACAGGTATCTGGGGTGGAGGAAGACGTGGGCATAATCGTCAATCCGTTACTCTACACGTAGAAACTCGCACCGGAGAGTGTACATGCCAAAAGTATCAAAACAGAAGAGTACCTTGTTCACATGCAATGGCAGTAGCTAAGTCGATAACCCTCAGCGCTTACAGTTTGGTTAGTCCTTACTACACGGAACAGGCGATCAGGAACTCCTACTCGTCAAGTTTTAGCCCCCTGCCGGATGAAGCTTATTGGCCTGTAGACAATGGGAAGTTGATTATCCCACCGTTACACTTAAAGCGCACCAAAGGTCGTCCTAGGACCGAAAGGATTCACAATGAAATGGACCAATCACAACGTGCCCGACGGGGTCCAAAGCGTTGCTCAAAGTGCAGACGACCGGGTCATGACAAGAGGCGTTGCCCAGGTCCACCTATAGAGCAAGATTCGGCGCCAATTCCGAACCAACCTTGATGTTGTTGTTGTTCACTTCCTTGTTTTAATCTTGTTGAGTAGTTTTCGTTGTTGTGATGTTTAATTTGGACTTCTTGTTTTAATCTTGTTGAGTGATTGTAATAAAGGGCGTTTGTTGTTCATTTTGTTTCAACATGGGGGTAAAAACCAACCAAATTTAGCCGACATAGATAGTTAATGGAAAACAACACAATCCGATTGCCAAATTTAGAAACATAGATAGTTCATGGAAAACAACACAAGACCCAAACCAAATTTAGACGACATGGATAGTTCATGGAAAACAAAAAAAGATGAAACTAAATTAGAACGACATAGATAGTTCACTGGTTGTCTTCATTTCCCTCCACTTCCCCTTCTCTTCCTCTTCCTCTTCCTCCACGACCTCCTCGGCCCCTTCTTCCTCCCTCTCCACCTCCTCCTCCTTCTTCACGAGCCCGCTGGACAACTGCGCGCGGATTCCTCTTAACCCGACCACCCACCGGAGTGTAGACAGGTGGTGGGGGGGGGAGGTTGCTGAGATGGACCAGAAGCGTGGTAGAAAGTCGATGATGTATGTTGTTGTTGCGGGGTCTGATACTGAGTAGTTTGTTGCTGATGGTGGAACTGAGGGGTGGCTTGGGTGAACATGTCATGCTCCTGAGTCGGGGCATAGCTTGACGACCCTCCGGTTCCCTCAGTACTAGTAGCCCACTCACAATGTGGCCATGGTTGAGGAAGTTGAGTTTGCTGAGACGGACGAAGCTCTTCAATGTGTTCTCTCACCCTTCTTCTGCTCCTCCGTGGGGGCTCTTGTGGGGGCACAATCCTCTCATCAGCACGGAATGAAGGTCGGGCCGGAGCAGGCACTGGAGGGTATAATATGACATCTCTCCTTTGCTCTCTGGTACAACAGAGCAAGTTGTTGAAGAGCCTGCGCAAAAAAGATGTCTTCCGCTCATCCATGGTGGGTGCACTCTCGACGGTGTGCTTCGCATGCTCCAAACCGTCAACCTAATAAATTGTTGTACAAAATTAACTAATAGTAAATCTAATAATGATTTCTATCATCTAATATAGGCATGTAATCATACTACAAAAATTAACATTCATTAAATCTAATAATGTTAATTAACATTCTAGCTAATATAGGCATGTAATCATACTACAAAAATTAACTAAAATAGGCCAAAATGGAATTCACTTACCACTGCGCCCCAAACAGCACCTTGCTTTGACACCCATCTTAGCGTGAAGTTCCGATACCACCGCATGTAGCCATCGTGGTACCCCATTGGCCTTGTCTCCGGCGCCCCTTGGACCACCCACTGATTTCTATTCTCCCATATGTTGATGTAGAATTCATGCTTGCGGGTCCAATCCTTTTTGTTGTAGCGTAGGTCAATGGCGTGGAGCTCCCTGAACCCTTGAGGTGGGGATGCTGGAATTGGTTGCTCCAATCGATATTGCCTCAAAGATCGATCGGGCAGGTGCCACTCCACCATGTGCCAGCAGATTAAGGGCACCTTGCACAACCATGTCTCTTGATCCTCGGGATGTCTAAGACGATGCAACTCAACCACTTCATTTGGATATGGATCCCATACCGCCTACAATCATTAAAATTCATGGAATTAGTAAAAATTATATCCACTCCACCTAATAAATTGAAAATCATGACATTCAATATTTTTACCTGGTTCCACCAAGGCTTATCAAATTCAGCACGATAAAACAGTAAAGAGTGCTCGGGCTGGTGGTCGTTTGTATTTGCTCCGATCCACCTAATTAAGCAAAAGTACATATATAAGCAATTTTTAAATTAGCTAAATGCGATTTGGTTAGAATAAATCCAAATTCACTTACTTGGAAGATATCTAAATTCACTAAAATACTAGAATTGCAGACCTAAAATGTCTCTAAATCCGCTTAGTTGGAAGATAGCTAAGTTCACTAAAATACTATAATTGCATACTTAAAATTGCATACTAAGTTCACTAAGTTCACTAAAATCTAAATTCACCTAACTAGCTACCATTGCATATCTAAAATAAATTCAACTTAAATTGAACTTACTTGAAACCATATGGGGGATTTGCTACAAATCGTAGCTCATCATCTGGCAACCAGAATTCCCGAGGGTCTCGAGGTGCGAGAAACGGAAGATGCTCCCATGCCCAGAGCTGGAGTATGAACATCGCACCACCAGCTTGTTTCGCTCCCAACTTCGAGCAAGTACACAACTCGCGGTAGATCCCAGCCAAGACGGCCGACCCCCAGCTTTTTTGCCCGATCTCGTCCCAGTCACCGAGGAGCATATTTAACCACATGCCTTGTATCCACCGGTTTGACTTGTCGGGGAACAGAAACCCACCAACCAAGGCAATTAGGTAGACACGTGCATACCGCTCCACCTGATCTTCAGGAGTATCCGGGCCTATATTAACCTCCATCTGGATGTGGTCAACAAGCCACGGGATCGATACTTGTCCCGCATTCAGTGGTGGATGCCCCTGACCTTCGACGGGCGTGGTGGTCGGCATGTTGAACCCCAGACGTTCCTGAATCAATGGCCCCCAACCATCTTCTGGTTTTCTCGAGCTGTCGATGATGGCATCTCCGGTGATCGGGAGCCCGGTGAGGATGGCAACATCTTTGAGGGTGATCGTCATTTCACCCTCGGGAAAGTGGAAGGTATGCAGCTCAGGGCGCCATCGCTCTGCCATTGCCGTCAGCAGATCGTTGTCAATATCTAGCCTCATAAAGTGCCTCAAATTGTGCAATCCCGCCCTCTCTAGATAGGGATGCAGTCGAGGATGCCAAGGGGGCAATCGACATGTACCTCGATGACTGATGGGAATAAGTGATTCCTACAAAACAAAAAACACAATATTGTCAGTCAATAGAAAGCAAAATAAAAACTTAGAAAGCAAAATAAAAACTTTAAAACTATTGAAATAATTTTAGTGTGTTTACCGGATTATTGTTCCAAATTGAACGAGAGCGATGTTGATCTTGCCCGGTTAAATACCTTCGATCCCTTGGGCCAGGATCGATATACAATCTAGGGTCGTATATCTCAGCACCCATCTATAAAAAAATATGAAATCAAATCAATTTAAATTTTAGCACCCATGTAAAAAAAAGCACAAAAGAATTAAATAAATTTACGTACTCTCAAAGCCTCTTCGTCCATATTTTGCCGAAAAGCTAGCGAGAGTATCGACAAAACAACAAAACAAAAACTCTAGTAATTCTTTCTGATGCGGAAGATCGGACTTAGCCGCAACCACAGAGCATACTTAGAACGAAACTAGAGTGAAAAATGGAGGGAGAAAGAAGTATAAAGTGGTGGTGTGGTTTGGAATGAGGGGGGGGATGGGTATTTATAGTGTTTGGGGCTGGGAAAGACCTGGCCAGTTATCACCGCCCCAAACAAACACAGCGCCATCACCGCGTCCAACAAAGGCGGTGATGGTCAAGGATCGCTGACGTGGCCTCTCCTGATGCGTCGGATTGTGGAGAAAAACCACAATCCGCGCATAACTGCATCCGACGGCAGCGGTGAAGGCGCGGGGTGGGGTGTGGATCGCTGACGTGGAAAGCGGGGCAATCACCGCTTTGGTCTTCAGCGGTGAAGTGCCCGCGCGCGTCCACGTCAGCGATCCGCGCCACTTCACCGCTGTTGGATCCAACGGTGAAGGCTTCACTGCCTCCAACATCAACGGTCTTGCCATCACTGTCGTCCTTGACAGCGGTGATGGCATCACTGCTTTGGTTTAAAGCGGTGATAACATCACTGCTTTTGTCAAAAGCGGTGATGTATCATCGTTTTAGACCAAAACGGTGATCAACATCACTGTCTTAGACAAAGACAGTGATGTTGAAACTGCTGTACTTTAGGAAATACTTTTATAAGTACTGTATTTTGGTAATTTTTTTTAATAATTGGTGTATTCTGGGATTTTTTCCTCAGATTACAGAAAATTCAAGTATTTGTCCCATTCGATCTCTTATACTTTACCAAAGAAAAAAAAAAGGGTCCATGTGAACCTATCCGGTCCAGCAACTTACATAGAATCGCGCGCCATAATTAACTGCCAAATCCGCACCATTCCGTTTCCGCCACTTGCCCGCCCCAACCGCCCCGCCACGTCACCACCTCCCGCAGTAAGCGTATAAACCCGGGGAGGAGGAAAAGCTACGTCTTCTTCTTCCCCGTCAAAACTCTTGAAATTCAATCTTCCAAACGACGACACGCTCTTCCATTTTTTTTTTTTTGCTTGCATCCCCAATTCCGATCAAAATCTCTCTCTCCAAAAATGGAAACCCTGAACAACCCCAATCCATCCTCCGGCGACGACGCCGAGATCGTTTCCCGCCGAATCCAGCGTCTCTCCCTGCACCTGAACCCAATCCCCTGCCCTTTGCCGGACGCCGACCGACCAATCGGGATGGCGGCCTGCGCCAGGGCGAAGCTGGAGGTGGACACCGGGAAGCTGTCGGGCTACATGAGAGGGCCCCACAGGGACGTACAGGAGAAGGTTTTCGAGTACTTTGAGTCCCGGCCGGAGCTACAGACGCCGCTGGAGATTTCCAAAAACGACCACCGGGAGCTCTGCTGGCGGCAGCTTGTGGGTTTGGTCAGGGAGGCTGGAATCAAGCCTTTTAGGTACGTGGCTGATGATCCCGCCAAGTATTTCGCCATTCTCGAGGCTGTGGGCAGCGTGGATATGTCGCTTGGGATCAAGATGGGTGTCCAGTACAGGTGATCTCTCCCCCTTTTCCCCAAATCGGCAAAATTTCCTATTCTTTTCGTTGCTTTCAGAGAGGGAAATGTAGCTTGAACGAGCTCTGTTTACGTATTCTTCTTCACGAGTGGTGATTTTAACGGGCCATTTTGTTAATCCTGTTTCTGGGTCTGTTCATTTTCCTAAACAACAACCGGGTTTTTTGCTCAAGTTTTGAGTCTTGATAGTTGCATCAAATGTTCAACTTGAATGGGATTGTTTATTGCCCATTTAGTTGATTGGAAAGCAAGAACTAGTTGAGCACAAACAAGTTTGTGCCTCAATCTTGTTATTTGGAGATGGTAACAAACGTCTTTGGTTCAGGATGTGTGGTTACTGGTTACAATTCCATTTTGCTGGTGAGACTTGATTAGTTTGGCGGGTGTCAATTGATTAGGTAACTGCCGGTACAAAAGAAATTTAATCTGTTTGGTGGACTTAGTGTACTATGTTCGACTGTGTCAAACGCTGGAAAATTTAATGCAGCATTTCATTTCATTTCGACAGACAGATAGAAGTATTGAGCTTTTGTACGTTTTAGCATGCATTAAGGCGCTGTTACCTCATTTTCAGTTAAAAGAAGTTGTGAATCAATGTAATGTCGTTTGGGAAGCTGCTTCCCAATTCATTGCAAGGGCGGTTGTTGGAACATTAAAGTTGTACCTCTGAAGATCATTAATGATATGATATGATGTCCCTTTACCATGGTCCACCTCTTAAAGCTATAGGAAATCCTAAGTTCTCAGAAGTCATTTTTTAGATTTGCTGGTGATCTTGACAGAATTTCACTTCTATATGCAAATATGTTGTGTCTAAACTGGTTTTTTCCTTGCATATGTGTCTGCAGTCTTTGGGGTGGTTCTGTGATCAACCTCGGAACTCAAAAGCATAAGGATAAATATTTTGATGGCATAGATAATCTGTACTATCCGGGTTGCTTTGCTATGACAGAGCTCCATCATGGTTAGTTTTTTCCCATTACACTATTAGTGATCTGATGTTGTGTGCATGTTCTGTAACTCCATGCATACAAATGGCGAATTCACATGTCTAACCATATTGCCCTGCTCTTTGTACGCCCTCTAAAGGCTCAAATGTGCAGGCACTGCAAACTGCTGCAACATTCGACCCAATAACCGACGAATTCATAATTAACACCCCAAACGATGGGGCTATAAAATGGTGGATTGGTAATGCTGCAGTTCACGGGAAATTTGCCACTGTTTTCGCCCGACTAATGCTGCCAACTCATGACTCCAAGGCAGTTTCAGACATGGGTGTTCATGCGTTCATTGTCCCCATTCGACATCTAGAAACACACGAAACACTTCCAGGTATCGAGATACACGATTGTGGCCAAAAGGTTGGCCTCAACGGGGTAGACAATGGTGCATTGAGATTCAACTCAGTAAGGATCCCTCGCGACAATCTACTCAACAGATTTGGTGATGTGTCACGAGATGGAAAGTATTCGAGTTCCCTTCCGACTGTAAACAAAAGATTTGCTGCTACGCTAGGCGAGCTCGTGGGAGGAAGAGTGGGGCTCGCGTATTCCTCTGTAGCCGTTCTCAAGCTTGCTGGCACAATCGCTATCCGCTATTCATTGCTACGTCAGCAGTTTGGCCCACCTAGAAAGCCTGAAGTCAGCATCCTCGACTACCAGTCTCACCAGCACAAGCTAATGCCCATGCTCGCTTCAACTTATGCTTTCCATTTTGCTACTTCCTATTTGGTGGAGAAGTATGCGGAGATGAAACGAACTCACGACGAACAGTTGGTTGGAGATGTCCATGCCCTGTCGGCGGGCCTCAAAGCATATGTGACGTCGTATACTGCTCGGTCGCTGAATGTGTGCAGGGAATCTTGTGGGGGCCATGGATATGCTGCTGTGAATCGGTTTGGTACTCTGAGAAATGATCATGATATTTTCCAGACGTTCGAAGGGGATAACACGGTGCTTCTTCAGCAGGTAGTTTATCAATTCACTATAGCAAGCGAAAAAAATATTCAGTGGAACACATTTTATCTTTACTTCTACTAAAACCTGTAATGCAGGTTGCAGGCGATCTCTTGAAGAGATACCAGGAGAAGTTCCAAGGCGGGCCACTGACAGTGACGTGGAACTATCTAAGAGAGTCGATGAATTCATACTTATCTCAGCCAAACCCAGTAACAGCACGTTGGGAAAGTGAAGATCACTTGCGAGATCCTAAGTTCCAGTTGGATGCTTTCAGAGTGAGTATGATTAATTTTTACCAGCTTAAACTTTATTAATACATATCTTAGTAGATTTTACAATAATATCTGTGTACGTCTTTTTTAGTACCGAACATCTCGATTGCTCCAAAGCGTTGCAGTCCGTCTTCGCAAGCACACGAAGACACTTGGAGGATTCGGTGCTTGGAACCGCTGCTTGAATCACCTTCTCACCCTGGCCGAATCTCATATTGAGACCGTCATCCTTGCAAAGTTCATTGAAGCTGTGCAGAAGTACTACTTATACCAGACCTTCTAGTTCGTTATGATGCTTCATGCATCTTAATACTTGTTTTGCTAATGTTTGCTACCTTGTTTTGTCTGTGCTAATAGCTGCCCGGATCCAAGTGCACGTTCTGCTCTGAAACTTGTTTGTGATCTCTACGCCTTGAACAGAATATGGAATGACATTGGAACTTACCGCAATGTTGACTACGTCGCACCAAACAAAGCTAAGGTAATTGAAAATTTGATGGTGATTCTTCCATTTCAATTCCAGTTTCAGTTTCAAGACTCTGCATGGTATCTCCTTTTTATCCATGAATTTGTGAAATCACTTATCGAAGCTGAGGCCCTGCTAAATCCGAAAGGAAGACTTCTCATGTATCGTTCGTGTTCCTTGCGGTGCAGGCAATCCACAAGCTGGCAGAGTACTTGAGTTTCCAAGTCAGGAATATTGCGAGGGAATTGGTAGATGCATTTGATCTTCCAGATAATGTTACCAAAGCACCAATTGCAATGCAGTCAGAAGCTTATTCTCAGTATACCAATTATGTCGGGTTCTAGAAATTTTGCCTTCGTTGAGCTAAATCAATACGTATAGTGCTCACAGTGGAATTCAAGCAGCAGATAGTTATAGATATCTTATGTTGTGCTGTCTTTCGAATTGTCTGGAATTATATATAGCCCTTCAGCATTGAAGCAAAAGTTCATTAGCATGAGGAACGAGGAACTGCCAAACTGGCGGGAGCTCAGAGATATACAGGGTTTGCATCTTACCCATTGTATGAACTATGGTCAACCTAATACACAACATTATATTGGCTTCTACGGTTTATTCTGAACATTGCCATCGTATAATTTGTTGGAGAAGAAGTATTGACATTTACTGCACTCTCTGCAGGAGAAAACAAGTTACTGTAGAACATATAATAATTTACTTTTCAATTAGACTTTCTCTATTTCAACTCTCAATAACTTAAATTCCAGTACTTGACATTCACATTAGTAATATTTTCATTAAAGATCTCTACTGAAATCAAAATGCTGCCTGCTTAAACATATCGTGATTACCGACAGCTTCATAATCTAACCGGTCTGCAAGTCGAGTATGCAACTCGCTCAGCTTCACTCTTTTGCCGAATATCCTCGTACATTTTCAGAGAAACTTCAGAGAACTTGTTTAGCCTATCTAGAACCTTTGTTAGACTGGCGTGGATGCAACTCAAGTTTGCAGATACATCATCTTTATTCTTCTCACCATCAACTTTGGAATCTGTTTCTTGGTGGGCTCCATCACCATCATTCTTTACTACCGTCTGCTGATGATGCACCAACTGGTCCACCTCGGCCAAAAATGATTTTATCGCATTGCTGAGTTCCTCAGATGGCAAGGATTTGATGCCGACAGACCAATCTCGACAGAGAACGAAGATAGGCGGGGCCTCCTGTTCTTCAATCGCTCTTGTGGTTGTTGCATGATGCAGTGCAGCAGCCACCCGTTAAGAGCTTGGACATATGATGTATGACTGTTGACCCAGTTTGCAAACCCCAATCCCAAACCCTCATCTTCGTCGAACCCATCAACGCTTATCCTATTCGCATTCTGCACGCTATTGACTTTGACCGTGACCGCAGTAGCAGCAGTGCCGCCGCCGCCTGCGGATTTCATGTAGCTGACGTGCATCACCGGCGGGGAGACGGCGGCGGGGAGACGGCGGCGTCCAACGGCGAGTCGGAAGCGTCGGCATGGTGAGTAGGGGAAGGTGAAGGGTAGGATGAGTGTGAAGGAGACTTGTCATTGTCGAGCTCGGTGATGGAGGCGGTCGAAAGAGAGGACTCGATGAGTACCTCGGCCTCGGCGAAGCGGCGGAGAGCTATGCCGATGTTTTTCAGGGAGTTGATATAAGAGACATGAGCTGCGGCAAGATTGTACCTAGGCGTAATGCTTCAATTTTCTCCTGCTTCGAGCTCGTGGTACCCATTCTTTGTTTCACTTGTCTCTGTTTCTTTTTCCTTTCCCCCAGATGGTTGAAGAAAAAAGCTCCCGAATTGAAGTTAGCTAAGCTGCTGCATAAGGAGTAGGGCGTGGAACGGCAGAAGACCCAGAAGAAAATTGAGGGTTTGGAGGAAAGAGGAAGGGGAAAGTGAGAGCAGAGATGGGAGAGGCAGCTTCAATGGCGGCAGCAGGGTAACAGAGGAGCAGACGGACGTAGTAGTGGGAAATCAATGCTATGCAAACGGAGGTAGTTGAGGTGGAAGCAGAGTCATAAAAACGGGAGGGACAGAAGCAGGGTGTAAAACGGAAACCTGAAGGTGGCAGTCGAAATAGCAATGACTACGGAGAGGGACAAAATGTTAATTTGAAGAGAATTTTACAACCATCGTGGGGTATTCAAGATTGTCACATTTAGGGACACTGGCAAATGTATGTAGAGGAGCTGCAGCTGTGCAAAACAGAGATATTAAACAGGGGACTGACACAGCCTCTCACATACAGCGCGTGAAATAAGTTTGGCCAACATAACCGCCAGTCATAGCCCTCCTCACATTTGTCTCGAACATCTTCGGGTTATCCCTCAACACTGCAGCAGCTTCATGGTTAAGGGGATCCTCGTAGTTTGGCTCCTGCACAGGTTCGATTCCAGTTCATTTGAGTAAGAAACGACTTTCGACACAACCAAAAACATAAGTGACGTTCAGAGAAATGGGAGAGAGAAGTGAATAATACCGTGAATAAATGGTACAGCCCATATATAATAGTGTTAATGTTAAGAACGGGTTTCCAGTCTTCTCGCAAGATGTTGAGACAAACATTTCCCTCCAAGTCGATGTTCGGATGGTATACCTGCAAACCAGAGTAAAGCCTATCAAAAGACTCGAACTTGCACGACATCATTGAGAAAAGAGAGGTGCAAAGGAGAATTTGCTTAGCTACCTTAGTCTTGCATTTCACTTTTGGTGCCTCATGAGGATAGATAGGAGAAACTTGAAAAGAGAACAAAAACGTTCCACCTCTGTGATAGCAGCCCAAAAAGCAATAGGAATCAAGCCTTGCGTTAGTACCTATTTATGCGACATGCTCAATAGCAAAGAAATCTATTTTACTTAAAGAGCTTTAGCTAAAGAAATCCTTACGCATAATATCCTTCATCAGGTTTAATTGTGACCTCAAAGCTCATCAGGTCATCCTTGCCATTAGGGAATGTTATGGCACATGATTTTGGCAGGTTCAACTCAGAAATGTCTGCAAAGGGGAAGAAGCTCAAAAGGTCAAGTAGGTAAATATAGTGCAAAGACATGGTATGTGAAGCATTCCAAGACATGGAAATTGTAGTTCAAAGGTCTGAACACAATACATAGATGCAAAGGCTACATATAACCATTGTATCACAAGCCACAAGGCAGGGTTAAATAACCAAAATCCAGTTTCTAGCATGCAGCAGAAAAAAAGGAACAAAATTATATACCAAGGAGTTCCTAACATACAAAAAGGGACTTTGCTCATTGCCATTAGGCAAAGGTTAAACCGATCAGTCATCAGCTAATTGACCAGATCACGTCAAGTCACTCAATGTTGGTTTAAGCTCAACTAAATAATCCAGTGCCATGCTCTTCCCCAAACCACTTACACAATCTATACGATTTGGATGATTATAATATCCATTCGAAACAATTAATGGAACAGAACACAACCAATGACACCAAGACCATTATACTGAATGTTATTAGCACGTAATCCGGAAAGCACAATCAAATATACCCTTGTGAAGGCGAAGTTCTCCAGCACTTTGCTTTTTAACAGGTATGCCTCCATTGGCATTCTCAGCTTGTTCCCTCTGCTGTTCCTTGACTTTGAACAAGCGAATCATGGCTTCTGGAAATCAGAGGAAAAACAAAATGATGAGCAAATCAACCACCCAATATCCAGCAATATCCATAGACAGACAGATGCTCATCCATGGATCAAAAGCAGCAGATACACAAAAGCTCTCGCAACCAGCCAAAAACCCAAATCGCAAACTAAATGATCACAATAATGCAAAGTCTCCAGCTCCAATGAAGTGATCCCCCTTCCAGACCAAGGTGAAAACTTTTAGCTCAACAGATCACATAGCTTCTGAACTCGGTCAAGACACTAATAATAAGGGCAGGCACGATTTACAGAAAATCCAACAATCACCACCGAAACCCTAACCAGAAACGAAATCCAAAAAAAAACGAGAACCCCAAGCTCTGATTCGAAACCCACAGAAGGAGCATCGACAAGGCATAGAGAGCTGCGTAACTCAAAACCCATCCCCGATTGCGATTGCGAGAAAACCCAACAGAACCCAAGCAAAAGATGAGAAATTGAGATGAGATTCGGGGAAAATAGCGGAGTTGGAGGAAGAGGAAGAAGAAGCAAGATACCTGGAGAGGGAAGCGCAGGTACAAAGCGAGAATTAAAAAAGAAAGGGCGCAGTACAGGATAAAAAGCTTTGGAGGGGTTATGATTAGCGGGGAATTTTTTTTTTTTTTTTTTTACAATAAATCAACTTTTATTCCACTAATGAAAGAAACGCGCTAAACAGCGAATCTATCTATAAAATAAATCAGTAATGAGATTTGAACCGTGGTCTCTTTGAACAAAGATAAGAAACATAACCAGTTACATTAAACACATTTGTGTGATCTTTTTCAATTAAAAACATACAGGAAGCTTAAATCTGAAAAATATAGGATTTTTCCACCAAGGTTAGCAACCGAAATATCATTGATTCAAATATTGCATATCGAATTGCACTCTTGAATTTGTAGAAGCGATGTAGTATTCTTAACATAGACTTAATTGTTATAACTATCATAAAGTAACAATATTTTTAAACACATAACTTTTGAATGAATATGGGGCACATGTGTCTTTATAAATATGGAAATGTTGAGTGACGTTGGTTTACCGAACGTGGAAGGAAAAAACACTACTAATGTAAAAGGACCCAAATAGTGTCTCGACCCACTAAACGCTCAACCATCGTCGTCTCTCCAAACTTCTTATCAGACTCAACAACCGGCTAACCTCCTCTACCTCTATTAATAAGCCAAAGCATTTTTTGGAGGGATAAATAAGGAAAGATTGAGTGTTGTTAGTTTGCCCAACGCAAATGGAAAAGGTGCTACTAATGTAAACGGACCCAAATAGTGTCCGACCAACTAAACACTCAACCACCGTGTTACTTTCGCTATACCTAATATAAGAGTGAAATGGGAAAGGTTTTCCAACATTACAAAATGCTTGCATCCATAGCAAAAGTAGAAATGGTAGATTCGTCTTCACAGTCATTTATTATTTTCTCATTTACAGGAAAGATACATAAGTGATGGGATTTGAATTGTGATCTCTTTGAGAAAAAAACAAGAAAAATAACCAGTTACACTAAAATAATTTGTTTTAAATTTTTAAATTAAAACATACAGGAAATTTAAATCTGAAAAATCATTGGAATTTTCCATCACAGTTAGCTAAGCCACTAACTCTTCCCTAAATATTTTTTTGGTATTTGATACTTCTATTTTCATACTTGATTATTTTAATTCAAGTTTAATAATTAATTTTATTTCTATTTATTTTATAAAAGGAGAATAATTTTATAATTGCAAGCCTAATGTTATTGGTGCAAATATTGCACATCGAATTGCAGTATTGAATGTGTAGAAGCGATGCAGAATTCTTGACATAGCTTAAATAATATAAATACCATAAAGCAACAATATTTTAAACATAAAAGTTTTGAGTGAATATGTGACACATGTGTTTTTAAGAGGTGTAAATATGGAAAGGTTGAGTGATGTTAATTTGTCGAATGCGGATTGAAATGCCGCAACTAATGTAAATAGGTCTAAATGGTGTCCCGACCTACGTACTAAACGCTCAACCATCACCGTCTCTCCAAACCTTCCCACTGAGCTCAAGAGAAGTGACTACCGGCGGCGATATAATTGAGATCGAGATAGAAGTGAACCATGTGCCGGTGAGCACCGAGAAGCTTTTCTAGGGGATATAGGATTTTCTTTAAGATCTTTTATTTCTCGGTGTTGGTAAGATATATATGATAGAGCCAAAACAATACTTCTTTTGTATTGCTAAAAAGAAAAAATTTAACAATAAAACAATGCATGGATTCTAATGGGCTAACCGCTAACCATAAAATAAAAGGGTTGAATGAACCTGACCCATACGGGATTTGGCCATCAAGTAAAACAAATGAACATCATGGGTTTGTCATCCTAAAACAAGCTATTTTCTCGAGCATACATATATTATGCTATTATTTTATATCTTAGATGCTAAAATATAATGTATTTTAAAGCTATTAAATGGTTTGTCCTCGATCAACCAGATTATTCTAATTTTTATAATTTCAAATATATATTATGTAATTATTTGATATCCTAATGATTAAATTATAGTAATTTTATAGGCAATTTTTTATTCGGTTTTCTATAAAACTTACTCCACCTCATCATATTATCAGAAATTATTTGATTCGTTGCATCATCCATGCCGCTTTCCTGCTAAAATTCACTATCTTTATAATGTGGTTCCCAAAAAAAATATACAACAAAAAACTATACACCCCATTACATTCTCAAATTTCATACGTCACCTTTCTCCGGCCAACTGGCTGGGCCCACGCTAGTACATACTTAAGGGAGATCAGAAATTAAGTCAAGAATACTAATCCAGTCCTCTGACAGAGTATATCTAGCTTTAGATCGTGCCACCCAATCAGCCCTCACGTTCAACGCCCTTGGAACCTCCTTAACCGAAATTGCAGGGTTATTCCTAAGGATATCAACCATTGTTCTAATCCATGCTGCACATCTCCAGGGCCATCGAGACTGATTTTGGTTCAGGGCCTTCACTAGTATTTGACAGTCAGAGTGTATTGTACACACCGATCCATATTCTTGTGCTAATTTAATACCTTCCAAGAGTGCCTTCGCTTCTGCTTCAATCGGGGTGGAACAAAGAAGAAACTCAGCTCTCCCATCACACACTTGTCCATGGTGGTTAACAACAACAACACCATAAGCCGCCGACTGGGAGTCGCTAAGGTACGACCCATCACGGTGAATCACCAACGAGTGATTACTTGGCGGGGGATTCGTTGTGGGAAGGGATCCCCTGAGCTGAGTGGGGCCATCAGTAGAAGGAGGCGGGGGCCTCGGGCAAGACATCCATTCTATTAGTTCTCTTTAGGTTTGTAGACACACATTTGGGGGCCAGGGAACTCTATTCTTGAAGGTACTCTCGTTTCTAACCTTCCAAATGTTCCAACAAAGATAGATAATGTGAATCAGGGAGTTATTAGGGATGGTATCTTTGAGGGCGTAGAACCATTCAAAGAAAGAGGTGCCCTGGGGAGGGATCGGGATGGATGGGAAAATGGAATTCCATGACTCTCTGGCATGAGGGCAGTAGAAGAGGCAATGGTTAAGGGATTCCACCGAGTCTTGACAAACCTGGCAAATCGGGTTAGGAGCACATTTCCGTTGGAAAAGCCTTGCTTTCGTTGTCAACCTGTTTATGGAACATCTCTAAATAAAGAATTTAAGCTTAGGTGGAATATTCAATACCCAAATCCATTTCCAACTCTCTTCACTTCCCTTCGGTTGGAAATTGGAGTTTGCTTTATGGACTGCGTGATATGTTGTCCTGACCGAGTAATCCCCCTCTCGAGTGAGCCTCCAAGCCCAAAAATCCTCAGATCCCTCTTCCCCAATAGGAATTTTAAGGATAGCCTCCACTTCTGCACTTGACACATGACCTTGAATCAAATCCGTGTTCCATCTCCTATTATCAGGGTCTATCCAGTCCTTGACCCTCAGGTTCTGTTGGGGGCCACTTCTAATGACAAAGTTCTGCAGGCTCGGGATCCATGGATCTTGGCCAACCCATGTATCCTCTCCCGATCCGATGATTCTAACCGCTCCCATGTTGATCACTTTTTTTGCCTCTCATAGACTCGCCCAGATCCAAGAGGCTCTACTTCCTTTTTTGGATTGTAGGAACCCTCCTCTCGAGAAGTACAAACCCTTCAGAAGACGACACCAAAGGGCATCAGTGGTATTAAGGAGTCTCCACGCCTGTTTCGCCAACAAGGCCATGTTGAAATCTTTGAAACTTCGGAAACCCAAACCCCCTTCAGATTTTGGAGCGCAGAGAATTTCCTTCTTACATCATTGCATGGTGCTTTTTTGCATTGACCCTGACCAGAAGAAGTTGGTGAGGAGGGAATCCATCTTCTTGGTAAGGTTCACCGGTAGGTTGAAGAGATACATAATGTAGGAGGGAATAGCTTGTATAACTGCTTTGAGCAAGACCTCTTTTCCTCCATGAGAAAGTAGGAGACTCTTCCATGCTTCCACCATCTTCTCCATTCTCTGAATGAGGAATTGGAAAGTTTCCTTTTTTGAATTCCCCCACTCTGTTGGAACTCCCAGGTATTTTGAGTGACAATTTGAAGTTGCAAACCCGATATGAGCAATGATCGCAGCTTTATCACCATCGGGTACATTTGCACTGAAAAAAACTGAGGATTTATTAATATTCACTTCTTGACACGTGATGGCTTCGTAAAGGTCAAGGATTTTCTCTGCCTCTTGATGGTCAGCCTTTCCAAAGATGACTGTATCATCTGCAAAAAGACAGTGGGTGAGGATCGGGCATCTCGCGTTTAACCTAATTCCTTTCAACTGGTTCTGGGAAACAGCTTTATCAATCAGAAAGGTGAGAGCATTAGACATCAAAATGAAAAGGAAGGGAGAAAGAGGGTCTCCCTGTCTAATTCTCATTGACGGCTTGAACTCTTTCGTTGCTTCTCCATTGAAGAGGATGGAGAAATTGACCGTCCGTATGCAGGAGCTGACCCATTTGCACCATCTCTCCTCAAAACCATATCTCTTCAGGAATTGAGGGAGGAAAGGATGCAGAAGACGTAAAGACGCTCCGCCAGACGAGTATATAAAGGAGAATTGTGAACAAACAAATTAAATTTAGCCATAAAATTAAATCATAACAAAATTCGGGTTTCTGAACCGAAGAAGGAAAAGGACAAGCCAAATACCAATGGCTGCTTGCTGACTAATCCGTTCTTCAAGCGGAGATGAAGAAAGATCTTATGCTGCCACTACCACATTACATTTACATGCTTATGATATAAGGCAAACTAATCTACTATGTCATGTACATAACTTTTTATCTCTCCTGATTGGAACGTGAATCTATAATGTTTTTCACTTCGATCATGTTCATTAGTTTTTCCTTTTATGCTTTTTTCTTATTCAAAAATGGAATACAATATATCTTCGATTTATTTTTTGTTGGGTTTTATAGTGGTGTG